ATAAGACAAGGATTTATACTCTTTCCACTGTTATTCAATATAGTGTTTGAATTCTTACACAGAGCACTAAGGTAAGAAAAAGAAATAAAAGGGATACAAATAGAAGTTAAATTATCCCTATTTGCAGATGATATGTTAAAAGATACAAAATCAACATATAAAAATCAGTATCTTTTAAAATATTCTAATAATGAACAACCCAAGAAAGAACAATCCCATTCACAATAATCTCATTTTTTAAAAGTGGGAATAAATCTAACCAAGAAGGTGAAAGACCTCTACAATGCAAATTAAAAAGTATGGAAGAAAGAAACTGAAGAAAACCCTAGAAGATGGAAAGACTTCACATGTTCATTGATGGGCAGAACCAACATTGTAAAGATGGTTATGCTCCTGAAATCAATCTACAGATTCAATGCAATCCCCATCAGAATCCAATGTCATCTTCTCACATATATGGAAAACTAATCCTGAAATTCATGTGGAAGTATTTAAGATCCTGAATAGCAAAGCAATCCCCAGCAAAAAGAGCAATGCTGGAGGTAGCACAATACTTAATTTCAAATTATATTATGGAGCTACAGCCTGTTTTTGGTAGGGCACAAAAACAGAAATGTAGGCCAACGGAAGAGAACAAAGAACCCAGAAATAAACTCATGTAGGTACAGCCATCCGATTCTTGACAAAGGTGCCAAAAATACATGCTGCAGAAAAAGCTTCTTTAACAAATAGTACTAGGAAAACTGGATAACCTAAGATCATTATCTCTCATCTTGCGCAAACATGAATTCAAAATGAATCAAAGATCTTAATGTAATATGTGAAATTTTGAAACCAGTACACAAAAAAATAGGAATACACTTGAAGATATAGGCATAAGCAATCACTTTCTGAATAGGACTCTAATTCCTCAGGAAATAACAGCAAGAACTAACAAATGGATTGCATCACATTAAAAAGCCTCTGCACACCAAAGGAAACAATTACCACAATGAAGAGACAAAGCCTATAGAATGAGAGAAAATCTTCATTAGCTATTCATTATTTGACAAAGGATTAATATAAGGAGCTAAAAATTAAACATCAAAAGAATAATCCAATTTGTAAATGGGAATGAATAGTTCTCAAAAGAAGAAACACAAGTGGCCAATAAACGCATGAAGAAAATGATCAACATCCGTAGCCATCAGGAAAATGCAAATCAAAATTATACTGAGAGTCTTAATCATGCCTGTCAGAATGGCAATCATCAAGAAAATGAACAACAACAAATACTGACGAGGATTCAGGGGAAATGGAACCCTTATTCACACTGGTGTGATTGTACATTAGTCCAGCTACTATGGAATTCAGTATAGAGATCCCTCAAAAAACTAAAAGTATAACTACTATATGATTCTGCTATACCACTCCTGGGTATGTACCCAAATAATCTATGGTAACAGAAATGGATCAATCCAAGCTCTATAATAATTTTATTTTATTTTTAAATTTAATATAAGTATTATCTTTTTTGTCTTTTTTTAAAAGGCAAGGTCTTGGTATATATAATCCAGGATGGCCTTGAACTTGTGATCCTACTGCCTCAGCTTCCTGAGTGCTGGGATACAGGCATAGACATCATGCCTGGCTTGTAATGATTTTAAACTGGAGCAGGCTGTAGTGTCCAATGCTAGGGCATAGAACTAAGTTGCCCAGAGATAGAAGAAAACACTGGGAGGTGGCTGGTGAGATATAAGGTTTATTGAAACTTACTAATAGGGAAGCTAATAAGAGAGATAAACTTATTCACACTGGAGTTTGACAATGCTACATGACAGGGAAGGTCCATGAGGAGCATGTCCAGGAACAACAGTGCTGTTCAGAAGGTCCAGTGACTGCCAGCTGGACTAGTAGCACTTGTTCTTTTCATAGTTCATCATACTGCTTACTGCAGGGAAAGGGGAATCTATAGCTTACTTTACATATCCAATGGCATCATTGCCTTTTCTTTGCATGACCCATATCCCAAGGAATTGCTGCCTTAGCATATGTGCAGAAAAGCATTTTCTATTTACAGATAATACTAGTTTGTGTGGTTCCCAGTACACATGGGGGGGATTTAACATTCATTCTTCAGATAGTGGTCACAGCCTACCCTCACTGTTCTTTTTACCTGGTGGGAGCCTTGGGAACAAAACAGAGCATTTTAGAGACATGGCATCTGATGTCCTACTTAGCTTAGGGATTATACACAGGTGTTTTATATAATCCACAAAGTGCAAACACATCTTTTAGTAGAGGCAGAAGAATCTGAAAGAATCTTTCAATGCATAAAACCTGATTAATTTAAAATTACTAGAAAACAAATAGACTTTAAGAAGCAAAAACTTGCTGGGAATGGTGGCACATGCTCTGTAATCCCAACACTCGGGAGCCTGAGGCAGGAGGCTCTTGAATTTAAGGCCAGCCTGGGCTACAAAGTGAGAACCTTCTAAAAAAATGAAATAAAATTAATAAAGTAAAATAGAAGCACATTCCTATGGTTATCCTTATTTTTGGAGACAAAAATAGATAAAATAATAAAAAAGATTTTTTAATATTTGAATTTGTAGGAAATCTCACAAAATGATAATTGAAATTAATAAGATTACTAATTTAAGTTGTTCTAAAATTTGAAATGTGGTTCAATTACAGTTAACATAATTGTGATATCCTAAGAATTTTGTCACTATCTTTGGGAATAACTAATTCTGATATACTAGAGATAAGCATATTGATTGTCAATCCTAACTCCTTGTGCTGTAAAAAAAAAAACAAAAGAAAAAGTACCTTAACATAGAACAAACCATGAAATAAAAACCCACCTTTTATGCAGAAGAGTATCAACTAAAGTGAAATTAGTATTTTGAGCAATCAAATTGTAAGTGGATAAGTTTATAACATTTTCAAAGTGGTGTTTTCTGAGCTACCTCCTTCTACCTTGATCCATATAACCACACTAGACATAGATATAACTTAACTACCCACAAATTTATATCTGTGTATTTGTGCAAAGTTAAAACATTGAAATTCAGTAGATACATTATCTGAACCAAATAAAACAAAGTCATTATTATTTGGAAAACTAAATATTGGCTATGATGAATATCATAATTATTTCCATATAAAATATTCAGTGTGGTTGTTTTTATGTGGGGTTATATGTGGAATTTCCCTTTGTTTCAAATTTAGTGAAGTGATCCATTATAAGAACAATAATTTTTTTAAACTGAATTTTAAATTTTTATGTAGTTTTAAAATTCTGATTTACAGGTCATTATTGCCACCTGCTGGTTATGTTGTTCAGTTGCGTTTTTTGGTAAAAATTACTGATTGTCTTACTAAAAGACAAAGGGAAAAATACAGGGAAGTTTTAGGTACATATGACTGAATTAGAAACTTTTATGCAAGAAAATCTTGAGGCATCTCCATTTTAAAGAAGGTAATGCAAAAATATGTTGGATTATATTAATTATATTGCATTATTTTAATTGTCACTTCATTATAGAATAAAATATCATCCATACTGGTTTGTTAGGGTTGTTAATACAAATATAGCTAAAATGCGACTCAAATAACTATTTAAAATAACTAGGTCAAAATAAGAAACCCCATTAGAGAATTTATAAAAAGTTGAAAGCATCTGTGATTCTATGCCACTGTGAATAAAGCTAAATGTCAGGATTTTCTTTCATATACAGATGTACACTTCTTGTAGTAACAGAACACAAAATTATTTAGGCATCTGTCAAGTTTTCTCAGTTAATAAACCTAGAAATTGTATTACTACCTAAAAACAGAGCTAACATATAACTTGATGACAGAGAATCCAGGTGAACAAAGTATTAATTGGAAGTAATACTCACCAGTGTCCAATAAAATCATCCATCTAGAACAAAGTAACATTTGTTTATTAAGCCTGTGTCATGTGTCAGTTGCTTTACAATCATTACTTATTAAATAATGCCATCCAGTAAAACAAATGTAACTTTATTCATCTTTCAGATGCAGAAATGTATCCTAGAATGGAAAGTTATAGAGTCAACTAACTCAAGGTCCCACACCAGTAATTTTTCTATGTGAATCCTCTATGTAAAAGATTTAGAGCAGTGCCTGACACATACTCAAGCCTGTGTTTGCTATATATCTGATTCAAAAAAATGTCTTGCTTCTTTTCCCTTTAACATTGTATCATGGCAATTTTCCTATATCATTGAATATTCATTCAAAATGACTTCATGACTCTAATACTGCATTGTATGAGTGTTTATAATGTTAATGTTTGATGTTGAGGCTACTTCTGAATTTCCCTAATAAAAATAGCAGCACAGTTGATATTCATGTAAATATTTTTTAATGATAAAAATGATTAGATTTATACTTTCAAGGATTATGCCACAGGTAAGAACATATTCACAGGCAGTGAAACTGAGGAAAAACAAAACAGGAAACATAACTACTGCACTCACTGCAGTGTCTCAAGATACAGAATTAAAATACTCATATTAAAAATGAGCTTTATTTTGACTTTGTGTTTTCATTTAAGAATATATTTTTGCCACTTGGGCACAGTGACACATGCCTTGCAATTAAGCACTAGGGAAGCTGAGGATCTCAACTTTGAAACCCTGTCTCAAAAATCCAAAAAAGAAAATAATAATAAAACACGTGTGTCTTTGTCAACCCTCTATTTTAAAGTCAGTATTGAAGAGAGAGAATTTACTAGCTGTTGAAATTTGGGCAAATTACCATATTCTGTATCCTCTATTTCCTCTGAATTAAGTAATAAAACACCTTAAGCGCCAAACATAGTGCTAAGAACGTAGAAATGCACCTTGGTGGTGGTCGGGGGGAGACTTAGGAAACAACAAATTAAGTTACAGCACTTACTGATTTTTGCACTTCCTGAAGTTAACTTAGTGACCAGGTGAACAGTACTGTCAGTAAATGCTTTGGACTTTAAGAAGAAGGCATAATCAATGTGGGCTGAGGCTCAGAATGCAGAGGCCCAGGAAGACAAGGATGCAAGAGGAGATAGACGGCTTTTCAGCATGAGTGATGACATAATTATGGACTCTCCTGTTGTGGACTTCACTTGGAATGACTTGGATGGAAGATCTGTGTTCGGGAAGTGGGTAAGTGAAGTTGAAAAGGTAAGACTGGGTCAGATTATTGGAAGTGTTGATGGGCAAACTAAGCAGTTTACCTTTTGGGGTGATGAGAAGCCATTGACATTTCTGAACGCATTTGCCTTGGGGAGACTAACCTGAGGTCATGAAGAGCCATGGTTTACATGGGGGAAATGGGGGTTAGGGAGTTCAATTCGGCCCACCAGAAAGTGGATGGGAGATGGAAGGATATGGGCTGCTGTGTTGTGGTTTGTGACAGGGGACACGAAGCATGTCAGCGCCCGTGTCCATCTGTGGACAGTGGCCTCTCTAGGACTGTGTAATAACTGAGGACACTTGGGATCTGGCATAGCAAGGTGTTGGCTGCACGGAGCCCGACCCTTCCAGGACTGAGAAACATGAGAAACTCTGTAGAAACAGCTGGTGTGGCTTCAGAGTGGATCGGGTCCTCCATGGAAAGCCGCGGGGACGCTCTGCGAGGGGAGCTCCTAGACACACTTGGGGTAGCCGGCAGGGGCCGCGCCAGGACTGCGCACGTACGCACGCACGCACGCCGCAAGGCACCCTGGGACGCACGCCCTGCTCCAAGCATCGCGGTCGCCATGACGACCAGGCCGCCCGCAACGGCGGCGGGAATGAGTCGTTGATGTTGCAAGGCGAGCCAGGCACCTCGGAAGCTCGCCGGAGTCGGCTGGGCCCGCACCGGAGAGTCCCCAGCTCCATCCACCCGAGCACAGATTATGAGAAGATGGTCGGGCGAGCGAGGCACAAGCTCACGGAAGCCGGCCCTGAGTCGCCGCAGTCTGCCCGCGCCGCGCCGTCGAAGCGGCGACGCCGGGCCACCGGAGCCGGAGAGCCAGAGATGGAGTTGGAACCACCGGCCCAGATGGAGAAGTCTGGACCGCCTGGGCAGTCTTTTCTCATGGGCGGCAGGAATCTGCCTGGAGGCGCCCGGGACTTCTCGCCACGCAGGATCCGGAGCCTGAACGCGCAGAACTGCCTGCAGCTCGAAGCGGTCGCCCGCAGCCTCCTCGTCGGCCGCTTCCAGTTTCTGCACTGTATCCTGGAGCAGCTCCGCGAGAAGATGCAGGGGCTGCAGGTGCACCGCTTCTCCAGCAAGACCACCCTTGGCATAGGTGAGCCCAGGGGCGGGCCGAACCCTCTCTGCCACAGGGGTTGGGGGCGTGCAGGGAGCAGTCAGGATGACATCCAGTCGCTTGCTTGCAGGAATTCTCAGTTTTAGTTCTAGTGTAAACATATTTTGCAGCCACTTACCACAGTGCTAGCTCTAGGACAGACACTATGTTTCTGTGCATTTTAAGCAAAACAAGATGAAAGTTTTTTAAGTTGGTATCTTTTAAAAAATGAGTCGAGATCCTTAATTTTGGAAGTAGGGTCAAAGTAGACAATATAGTACCTAGTTTTGATACCCATTTACTTCTATCTTGGTGTGGAATTTCGATGTCTAAGATTGGGGAGCCTTTCTTATGAAAGCACTTGAAAGGTTTTCTTGCTCTTTTTACACCCCCTCATTTTTCTGTAGCTTAAGAGGTACCTTAAATGCTGTTTTTGTCTCAGTAAAATCAATTTTTGGCTTAGTCCTTGGTCACATTGGTTACTGATGTAAACTGATATATATATATATATATATATCTCAATGCAGTTTATTGTAGTTTCTTTCCAACATATGCTAGCTGACTGTGTATGTCAAAGTATAAATCTCCACCCGTGTTAACAATACCTATACTTGAGGAATAATTGAATTTCACACTTAGATTTTATCATCTGCCTAATTGTGCCAACAGACACATTCCACATCCCCAAATCAACACTGGCTTGGAAATCAGCCATTTTCCAAAATCCAAGTTCCAGAGCACTGACATCTGGCATATTTGCACCATCTGACACACGCCAGTGAACTAATGAGTGGTTGTATTAAGTGTATGGGAGCTCAGAAGAGGGAGTATTCATGTTTTAGGGGATGAGGGGATGGGAACAAGATGAGGGACGACTTTTAGGAAGGGGTTAATTTGAATTGTGACTAAAGTATACTGCTTGTAAGTGTGGTGATGAGAACAAGTATTAGAGGCTGATAGAACAGCAGGATCAAAGTCATGGAAATGAGACATCATGTTGTGAAAGGATCTAAGGCTGAAAGGATTTTTTAAGTTGAAGAGTAACTTGATTAGAAATGCGCTTCAGAGAAATTAACTCAGCAGCAGTATATATCATGGATTAGTAAAGGACTGAAAAAGGAAGCAGAAAGATTAGTTGGAAAACTATTACTATAATCCACACTGTAATGGTCTAAAGGATATCAATGATAGGAATGGAGAGGAAAGATCAGAGGTGAAAGTTGATGAAACAGATTGCCAGTGTGAGGTAGAAGAGAAGAGAGAAAGTTAGTTCAGGGATGAAGATTATGGATTTGGGAATTAACTGTGTAGAAATGATAGTTGAAACTTTAAGATCAAGTGAGATTTCCAGATGATACCAATGTAAAGATGGGGGAGCAAAATAAAGACACCTGGGCAAAAATTTTAAACTTAGTTTTAAGAAATGAGAGGAAAAAGGAAAAATGAGATAAATGTATAAAAAGAAAATCCTTAGAAAAATAGAGCTGGGAGAGTTCAATTGGTGTTGACAGAACACTAGAGAGGGGAAAAAAATCCAAGAATCTGATCAAATGCTACTGGAAGACTTAAAAGCATAAGAATTGAAGGCCACTGATTTTGATAACTAAAATGTTATTGGTCACTTAAAATAGTTATGGGAACTTTGAAGAAAGACATTGACCAAGAATCTTGTCATTGAATGGGAGACACTGAGAGGCAAAAGGGTAGTGGGTAGTAGATCACAGTTTGAGGGGCGGGTCATAAGTTCTAGTGGAATTAGAGAATTGAAAGGAAGGATGAATGAGAGAGGGGGAGATGGAGGATACAAGAAAGGGAAGAATCTATAAAGCAAAATCTTAGAGTATTTGGGAAGAGGGAATTAAAAGCACAAACTTGAGAATCTAAATGTAGAAAGATCTTCTTCTGAGGTGGTAGAAAATAGAAAAGCAAGGATTACTATATAAAGAAATGTTGATTTAGATGTAAAAGAAGTTGGGAGTGCTTCATTGGTCTTTGTTTCAGTAAAGTGTAAGGCTGTGCCACCTTTAGAAGTGACACTGATAGAGACAGGATGTGAGAGCCCAGGGGATGTGCTTTTCATCACAACTGTAAGGGCTTTCATATATTGGATATGTTGACATAATTACACCATATCATTTGGGAGGAGGGGTATAGGGTGAGAGGAGGAGTAGGAGAGGCAGGTGTTTGAAAAGGTAGGTGGATTAGAAGCATACTTCATCTTTTCCATTTCCTTAAATACCATTTTAAACATTTTTGTCTATATATTTGATTTTCAGGAGAATAAGAATATAAGAACATAGGATATAAATATAGTTGAATAAGCCAGTCTCCAGGTGTTAATGAAGCCCTATTAGAGGGGTATTTCTTTCAAGTTGAGAGAGAGGGTTATAAAGTTTCATTTCAGAGTGGTTCATATGTAGTAAACAGTATTCTTTTCTGTAAAGAGCCAGTGAGCAAATGCTTTTCAGGCCAAAGACAGTCTCTGTTGCATCTTCATCCCCGTTTTCTTTTTTATTGTAGAAAACCTTTTAAAGCTTTTAAAATCCTTTTTTAATCCTCTAAAAACAATAACTGTGTTTCGCTTGTGGAAAGCAAGAAAGCAGACCATGGACTACAGTTTGTCCATCCTAGTATAACACAGTAAGTCCAAGAGAAGTATTTAAATGAGCCCACCGTATGTGCTAAGTAATATAGGCAAAAAGCTGGAGAGAAGGATTGAAAATTTCAACATTGCAGTTTAAAATTTATTTATTGAATTAATTTGCATTTATTTTGTCAGTCAAGCCGAGTAATTTTTGAATTTTTAAAGAGGTTAATGGTGGTTTATAAGATGACTTGCCAAGTATGTTTGCGACGACCATAAGAAATACCATACAGAAAGATGTCCCATGCTCATGGATTGGCAGAATCAACATTATGAAAATGGCTATACTGCTAAAAGTGATTTTTTTTACATGTTCAGTGCAATTCCTATCAAGATCCCAATGACATTCTTCACAGAGATAGAAAAAAAATCAATCCTAAAATTCATATGGAAATACAAAAGACGTGTAATAGGCAAAGCAATTCTGAGCAAAAAGTCCAATGCTTGAGGTATCACAATTCCTGACTTCAAACTGCACTACAGAGCCATAAAAATAAAAACAGCATGGTATTGGCACAAAAACAGACCAATAGATTAGAATAGAAAACCCAAACATAAACCCACACAGCTACAGCCAACTGATTTTTTGACAAAGAAGTCCAACGCACATGATGGACAAAAGACAGCCTCTTCAACAAATGTTGCTGGGGAAACTGGATCTCCACATGTAGAAAACTGAAACTAGATCTCACTCTGTACCAAAGAGTACAGCTCAAAGTGGATCAAAGACTTTAATATAAGGCATGAAATTTTGAAACAACTACAGGAAGGAGTAGGAAATACACAGAATAGATAGGCATAGGAAACAGATTCCTGAATAGAACTCAAAAGGCTTAGCACCTAAGCAAAAGAATGAACAAATGGGACTGCATTAAACTTAAAAGGTTCTGCACAGCAAAAGAAACAGTCACTAGACTTAAGAGACTGCCCACAGAATGGAAGAAAATCTTTGCCAGCTATTCATCCAATAAGGAACTAATATCCATAATCTATAGGGAACTCAAAAAACTCAGTCCCCTAAGAATCAACATCCCAGTGAAGAAATGGGCACATGAATTGAATAGGAAATTTTCAAAGGAAGAGGTACAAATGCCGATGAATACATGAAGAAGTGTTCAACATCTCTGGGTATAAAAGACATGCAAAGCTAAACTAAGGACCCAGTTAGAATGGCCATATTCAAGAGCAAAAACAACAAGAAATAATGCTGAGGATGTGGTGAAACAGGAACCCTTATACACTGTTGGAGGGAATGCAAATTTAGGAGACACTTGCACACTGATGTTTATCGAAGCACTGTTCACAATAACCAAGCTATGAAAACAACTCAGATGCCCTACAACTAATGAATGGATCAAAAAAAAATGTGGTATATACACACAATGGAGTTTTACTCAGCCATAAGAAAGAATGAAACCATTAGTTTGAAGGTAAATGGATGCAATTGGAGGACTTCATGTTACATGAAGTAAGTCAGGTTCTGAAAGATCCAAAAGAAAAGCATATACACTAAAACAAATATGATTTACAAATATATATATGTAGAACATGTTTGTAATAGTGGAACTACTCTATGGAACTGGGGGAAGGAGGGAAAGGAAAAGGGAATGATAGAGCCTCAACAATATCATAAAACATGTTATCTGTGAAGGTAGAGGATATAAGGATATGTATTGAAAGCTGTTGAAAAATGAGGGGTGGGAGGAAAGGGATAAGGGAGAGTAATGGAAGGGGTTGAATGGACCAAAGTAAAGTGTACTCAGAGTGGGGATACAGTGAGAAACCCTTTGAACATCGACTTAGAAATTAATAATGAAAGGCAGAACTATAAAATAGATACTTGTGGGAGGGGGAAGGTGAACAAAGATGAAGGTGAGGGAATATGGTTGATGGATTTCATGTACATATATGAAACAGAACAGTGAATCCTCTTGCAATTGCTTTAAGTGAGGCAGGAGGGAGTTGAGGGATGGTGGGGGTGATCTAATGAGTATATAATGTAAGCCTATTTGGAATTGTCACAATGAATCCACCCTGTACAACAAATATATCCTAATATACTTTTTTAAAAAAGAAATACCATTACAAAATCTTGGAGGGAAGGCGGACTTCTGAAACAGTGAAGTAAATTCACTCTTCCGTGACAAATAAGGTTGATACTTGGAAAATACCAAAATCAACTTTTTCACAACTGGAAATTGACCAAATTCTGAAGAGCATTAATTCAAGAGGAGCTATGGAACCTCTCTAAGAACAGTGGAGTTTGAACTTGTTCTAGCCCCATCCCTTCTCCCCAGCAACATGGTATCCTTGAATGCATGCAACTTTTCAGTCATCATAGAGCAAATTATGCTTACATCTCTTCAAAAAGCCCCATCCCCAGAGTGTGTCACTATTGCACCTGTCTCACAGACCCCTGGTAAAGTGCAGAAAAGCCTCATGCATGGTGCATGTCCTGTGCCATCTAGGAGTGCCTACGTCCAGAAGCTTGCAAAGAACTAACAATTCATCAAGATTTGCATTACACAGTGAAGCTTGCAGATGTGCTGCCAAGGAGTGACGCTCTGCATTTAATCATCTTCTGATGAGCACAAGGGACAGTGTTGTATGGTAGCTCCTTTTTTGTTAGTCTTCTGAAAGAATCTAGTGGAGCAATGTGTATAGAGTTGCTTCTTTTTAAAATTGTATATGAAGGAATAGAGAATAAGAAACAGAATGCTGAAAAATTACAGAAAGGTCAAGGTGATCCATTTCGTACAAATTATCTACAAGGTAATGTGTAAACCTTTCAAGCCTCTCCCTTTGCTCAAGTGTCAAGTTCTGAAGAGTTCAGCATTGTTCATGATTTGCTTTTTGTTCCAGAGTTTTTCTTGTGCTGGTTTTGACCTGAATAGCTGCTCATTTGGCTTTGTGTGCTATCCCTAAATATGTAATGAGTGCATTTGATATGCTTGTTTTACAGGTATTTTATAATAAAGCAGCTTTTAATAACTGTTTCTTTTTCTCTTTTTCCAGCTGCCTTTGTAGGAATTTTGCACTGGTAAGGACTTAGTTTCAGTTGGAAATACATTAAAAATTGGATTAAAATTTGTTATCACTGTTTGCATGCAACGAGACAAAAATTTCTGGCTCTGTGTGTAGAACATCTACATGTGCACCAGTTCACACACATGTATTACTTTTTCTTTTTTTGCAAACTTTGTGTGTAAAGCAGCATTTGCAAAATAGATGCATTGGGGGAAATAGTAACTTATGGGTTAAAATATTTTTACCTTACCAAAGAATTCACTATGGCATTTCCTTAAATATCTAGTCTTCTTAGTGAGTTTTGCAGTTTATTTAATCTGAAACATGTCTATTTTATGGTATTTTTATGCTGTAGTGATATAAGTTTAGAGAGAATATTTGTTAATACCTACAATTGGAAAGCAGATAAAAATGAAAAATAAAGATTGTTTTTGAGGTGAGACACCTCTGTAATCTCAGCACTCAGAAGGTGGGAGACTGAAGCAGGAGAATTGTTGCCTGGGTTGCATAGTGAGACCTTGTCACACACAAAAAAAGATTCTCTTTGCAGTAATGAAGCATAATTTAATGCCTCTGAACCTTTCTGTGCAGTCATAGGTACTTTACTTACAAAAGAAGTAATCTCTTTGTAAAAATCATATATAAAATAATAGTGCTTTTCCTCTGGAATATTTTCATTTCTACCTGAGCTCAAGGGTTTCTACTCTTGGGAAATAGAGGATCTGCCCCATATTTGGTACATAAGTTGATACTTCCTATGACATTATACTTATTTTTAAACATATTTAATCTTAAGTAATTTTACTTAAAATTATATTCTAGTGCTTTTCAACAGTTAACAGAGCTGTTTCCCAAAACTGTTATATTTGAATAACTTGTTAAACTTAAAAAAAGAAACAAAACAGCTTGTGTTCTGATTTAGAGGTCTGGGGTAGAAGGAAAGATGAAGAGAACCATAGGAATTTTAGATACATAAATATAAGTTTAAGAATGGATTTAGGGAATTTGAGATGTATGCTACATTGAATTATAAATGCCCCAAACATAAAAGTTAATAAGTTATAACATTACTTCAATATTTATTGTACAATTAGTATTTTCCTTTTTATGGTTTTCTGACTCTGCTTATGTAAACCTTAAATTGTTTTGGTACTGGTTTGAAACCTGTTCTTATTATAATGTGGTATTTCATTTTTTTCCTAGGATACATTTAATAACACTTTTTGAAAATGACCGTCATTTTTCTCACCTCTCATCTTTGGAACGGGAAATGACTTTTCGCACTGAAATGGTTAGGTTTCTTTAATGGTTTAATTTGTGGTCTAAGAATAGTTAAGTCTATAATGTAGAAATTTAATAGGAACTGATGTGAATTTTTAGTGAATGGCATTGTTTTTACTTCCTGTCTCTGAATTTACCAGAATACCAGCCACCCCTACCACAGGCTACTACTTTTTGATTTTCATCCCTATAACCCTTATAAAGCTTTAAAGAATTGTGTAGGTTAACCTTTGTGTGGCATTTGAATACTTAAAGGTATTATTTCCAATGACGGCAGATAAGGATTTATTTAATGATAAAATTAGTCCAGCTATGGCAATCTGGACTTCGGTGACAGATCACCAGATTCGGATAGAAGTTCTGTGCTTCATTGTCTGAAGGCTAGTCAGTTATCTTTTTGAATCTCTGTCATCTTATCCAATAAATAGAAAAAATGGCAACATTACAAGGTTTTACTGAAAATGAAGGTAGATAATGAATGGAAGCATATTGCTTAGTACTTGGCATTAAACGATAGCTTTTATTAATAAGAACTTATGTATTTCTATTCCCCTAAATATAGGCTTTTGCATATTCAATATCTCTTAGTTGTTGTATCGCCTTGCCCTTAGAAGCTGAAAGGAAAGTCCTTCTATGAACTCATTTTGTCATTGAAGGCTATGAGAAAATGCTCCATCAGACACCAGCTAAAACGTCTTCAATTTAGAAGCTACTAGTGTTGCTTAGTCTATAAAAATAAAGCAGTTGGGTGAAAGAGGAGTGGATGTAGAGTTGCAGATGGTTCCTGATTTTTTTTAGAGAGTGCATTATAAACAATGTGGCTCTGAATTTGCTTCTATAAACAATTCAGTCCTTTATTTTCTATTTTACTTGAAAGAAGCAAATTGATGAGGAAAGTGATTTGAAACAGCCCAGCTTCTAAAAATCCTTGAGTTTAATTTAAAATTGACAATATTCTTACTCCCCTAAGAAGGGCATTACTTCATGTGCTGGTCATTATAGGAGGACAGTCCCCTTCTCAGTACCTGCATTAGTGAGCATCAAACGTCAGTTGACATTTAGCTTTCACTTTGTGCAGACAGCAGATAGAGCTGTGAAAGAAGTTGAAAGCATGGGTGTTTACAATCACCCATATTCTCCTGATATTTATGAGCATTGGATGATATTGCTTAAGAGCATGGAAGGAAGTGATTTCCTACATGAAAAGTTGCATTGGGTTGTGAAGGTATATGCTAACCTCCAAGCAAATGGGGAAATACTAGATTTGGTAAAATTAATAGTATTTGTCTACATATTTTAAGGCACTATTAGTAAAGTTTCTTATAATATATGGCCATCCTTCTAACTTTTTTGTCGAAAATTTTCAAATCTATAGAAAATCGAAGTAACAGTACAGTGATAACCTAAAAATATATGTTGTTTGGGCCCAAGAATGTGAGTATAAGGAGTAATTATGAAATCTTCTTAGTGACCTTTTTATCAGAAGAAAATGTTCTAAAAAGAGTATTGCCATTTTAAAGTTTTGCTTACATTGACAATGTGTGACTTTTTTTTTTAAAGGGACTTTATTTTTCCTACTTCAAGACCATTGTTGAAGCCCCTTCATTTTTGGAAGGACTGTGGATGATTATGAATGACAGGCACACTGAATATCCCCTTGTAATTAATACAGTAAAACGCTTCCATCTTTATCCAGAGGCAAGTACTATTTTGAGGCAAATAATACTCAGACTACTCTTTTTATTAGATAAAAATAGTAAGTTTGGGCTAGAAGTATGAATCAAGTGATAGAGTTCCTGCCTAGCAAGTGCAAAGCCCTGACTGAGTTTAAACCCCAATGCCACACATATACACACACACTCAGCATACACACAGTATTTAAGCATAATGATGCTAAAGAAAAAAGAGGAGGGGACTTTAGGTTTACTGATTTAAGATGTTCTTATAGTTGAGCACATTATCAAAAGTTCCTCTCATAAATTTTTCCTTTTTTTAATTAGGATGTATTTGTTGTACAGGGGGGATTTATTGTGACAATTCTGAATAGGCTTAACATTGTATATTGGTTAGATCACCCCCACCATCTCTCTCCTTCAGCCCCCTCCCTCCTCACTTAAAGCATTTGCAAGAGGTTTCTTTGTTCTTTTTCATATATGAAGTCCACAACGATATTCCCTCACCTTCATCTACTTCATTCACCTTCCCCCTTCCCACAAGATGCCCCCCCCAACTGTACCTATTTTACAGTTCTGTCTTTCCTTATTAATTTCTAAGTTTATGTTCAAAGGGGTTTTTTGATGTGTCCCTGCTCTGAGTATACTTTTCTTTGGTCATTTCAGCCCCTTCCATTGATCTCCATTATTCTTCCTTCCCACCCCTTATTTTTCAACAGCTTTCAATACATATTGTTGTATCCTCTACCTTCACGATGTTATGTACTATGGTGTTATTGATGCTCTATCATTGCTTTTTCCTTTCCTTCTTTCCCCAAGTTCCACTATTACAAACATACCCTACACATGAATTTGTATATGATTGTGTTTGTTTTCATGTACATATCTTTTGGATCTGTCTTCCACATATGAGAGAAAATATACGATCTTTATCTTTCTGAACCTGTACAAAAATAAGGAAACATAGGGAATAATGGTCACATATGTGTGATCAACCATCTAGAATAAATAAATGCTATTATTTTGTCATTTTTGCTTCATATATATAAAAATAACTAACTTATAAATATTATTAAAATTGTCTTTGTTCTGCTTCTAGTCCAATTTGTTCTTTTCTTCACACAAGACCCCCTTGTTATAAATTTGATGTACATATTCATCTAATCCATGTTATCAAGGATTGTTTTATGTGTTTTTAAATCCACATAAATGCTCTCATACCTAATGTGTCACTTTACAACTTTTTCTTTAATGTTATAGTTTTGAAGTCTATGTATGTAGGTGTATTTATTTCTTTAATTTTAACCATGATATAATTGCAAATTTTATTTATACACTTTCCTGTATGTACATGTTAAATTATTTACAGTCTATTACAAACATTTCTAAAATATGTATTTTTGTATTCTTCCTATATATGTGCAATATTTTCTCTAGGATATACTTAGAAGTACAGTTGCTAGAGTGTGTACTCTTTGTTAGTTTTACTAAGTAATGCTAAATTGGTATTTTCATCAAATGTAGCAGTTCATACTGCTATTAGAATTTGCTTCTCATATCCTTATTAGATCTCAGAGTATCAGATTGTATTAGTTTTGGTCTTCTCATTACTATGATATGCTTTTGGTTTTGTATTTCTTTTATTATAGGTAAGGTTAAATATACCATCATGTTTAGTAGATATTGAATTTTTTTCTTCTATCAATAACTTGTATAAATCCTTTTTATCTATTTAGTGGTGGTTTTCTTATTGACTTGTTAGCATAATTAACATATTTTGTTTAGTTATTTTAAGTACTATGTGCTGAGCCTATCTGTTCTCATTCTGACTTCTTTTTATTTAATGAGCTTTGAGGTATAACTTACATGCAATAAAATGCATTCATTTTGAGTATGCAAATCTTCAAGTTTTGACAAATATATGAAGCTATATAACCATCACTAGTCTAATTACAAAACATTTTCCTAATGCCAAGAAGTTCCTTTGTACTCCTTTGTGGTAATTATCTTTTCTTCATTGAATTGTTTTGGCACATTTGTTGAAAATTGATGGATCAGATTATGTGTGGATTCATTTGAATATATATTTCTGCCAGTCTCACACTTTCTCCATTACTATAGCTTTTTAGTAAATTTTGAAAGAAAGTAGTTCTTCAACTTTGTTTTTCCTTCTCAGAATTGCACTTTTATATAAATACTAGATTCAACTGGTCAGTTTCTCCAAAAAATTTGGATATGTATTGGGAAGAATTGGCATCTTAGTAATATTGAATTTTATAATCCATGATATTGGTATAAATCTTTAGTTAATTGTTTTTGTCTCATCAATGTTTTATATTTTTCAGTGTATAGTTATCCTTAAATACTACTTTTTAAAAACTATTGCAAATGCTATTATTTAAAACTTTTATCTATTTTTGTTGCTTTTATATATTGATTTTGAATATTGACTTTGTATCTTCATCTTGATGAAGCCACTTAGTGGTTTTAGTAACACTTTTGTAAATTCCTTTGTATTTTCCTATGTACTATGATGTTGTACATGAATATAGACAATTTTACTTCTTACTTTCTAATACATAAACCTTAAAATATTTTTAAAACATTTATTGAAGAATAATTAGTCATACATAAAGTATACAATTTGATAACTTTGGGCACATATGCCACCCATAAAACCATGACCACAGTCAAGAAAATAATCCTATCCATCATCCCAGGACTTTCTTTGTTTCTTGGTAATCTGGCCTTCCTGTACTTCTCTGCCCAATCTCATCCCCAGGGACCTGCCAGTATGCTGCCATTGTAGCTGAGTTTGCATTTTCTAGAATTTCGTATAAATAGAATCATAGAATTGTTCTGTGCCCAGGTCTTGTTTATACAGTTTATTGTGGAATAGCACAGAGAGATCATCAAAAGACATTTTTATTTACATATTCCCAGAGAAAGGGACACACATGTCACATAGGGCCATAGGGAAAAACTAGTCTGATCAGGCAAAAGCTGGAGTGAGGGGAGAGCCTAGGCTAGAGATTTCCATGGGAAAGGCAAAGCCTGACAGAGTTAGAAACCCATCAGCAAAATCAAAACACAGCTGAAAAGTGGGAGAAAGTATTTGTAATATATATCACAGAAAAAGGACTAGTGAATTTAATATATAAAGAACTTTTAATTCTGTATATATTAAGCTTCTGGAGGCTTCTGGATTCAGTTTGGAGATGAAGAAAGCTGGAAAGAATGATACTGCCATCTCTAGAACAAGAAGAAATCTGGACAGACTGCAAGTTAATAATGTCTTTTTTCAGTCCATCAGAAAACAGGTCACAGAGCAAACAACCAACACAAAATTTGGAGAGGAACAGTTGTCTGCGGAGAGAAATAGTACCTGAGCACTTGCTTGCTGTCAAGCCATAGAAACCAGTAGGAAGATTAAAGTAGAAACTTTAATGAACTACTAAAGGCTCAGGGTGAGCTAGGACCTCAGGGTCAGCAGGCTGCCTCTGGAAAGACTGGCGAAATTCTAGAGAAAGCTTTCCCCCTGCTGCCAGCGAGGGGAACTGCAGCACTATTCATACTCCATACCTGTGTTCCCAGTCTCCCTCCCTTATTAAAAAAAAAGAAAATAGGCATAATATTCAGGGAGGAAGGCCATAATCTGAGGATGTTGGTGAGTATTCAGTGCAGCAGGCAGAAGAGAGCTGGCAGGAGAAAATTAAAAAGCAGCTATATTCCTGGAGGAGGAGTAGAATACTTGTAAAGCGACTTCTACAGGCCAGAAAACCTCTTGGCTTCCCCTACACTGTATTAACAAGCCTTGTTATGAATGAAAAAAAAAAAATCTGAGTGGAATAGTATTGGGCAAGAGTGGGTTTTTAAAAACTGCTTTGTTTTCTTCTCAGTACTGGGATCACACCTAGGGCCTTGTGCATAGTGGGCAAATACTTTATCATGGGCTTTTCTTCCAGCCCATGGTCGGAGAGCTTTGAGGGTAAGTCCTTTCTTTCTAGGATGATCTTCCAAAGGGAAAACCCAATACCAGGCTAAAGACAAGGCACCACTAGAGGAATTTGAAATCCCTAATGTCATAGCAACAACAAACTCCAACTCTGATAATCACAACAACAATGAACTTTAAATTATAATCATGGCAACAACAAACTTCAAAACCATCCTAGGTCCTGACTGATTACTGTTGGAATTAAAGACCCTCCGGGGCTGAAAACAGACACACAAGAGACAGAAAATCTTGACAAGGCAATTTCTTTTGATCAAAAGGGTGCAAGCATGTGCTCACTACAGCTAAGCGCAAACACAAGCACAAAATGGCTAACAGTGGCTCCTCCTTATATCCCTGATGCAGTTGTACCTGCCCTTAACCTGGGATTTCTTCAAGTCAAATGTTTATAATCTTTTCCGATTGGCTAAGAGGCTTGGGACATGGGTTAGGGCATACAGTTTGGCAGGCATTGGAGTTGTACAGGAATCTGGAAGAAGCAGCAAGGGCCCTTTAAATATGCAAGTTGTCTAAGATGGCAATCTGAGGAATTTTTAAGTAATCTAAGAGAGAAATACTTTAATAGAAAAGATCATTTTTCTTACAATTTCCCCCTTATAACTTAAATTCTTTTCTTCAAACTCATTTAGGAGCCATTGACTCTCATGTTCCTGCATTTCTAATAGAAACAAGTTATTTTGGTAGGGTGGGGGTGATTGTTTTTGTGAGAGTTGTCTCATTTAGCCACTGTATTAATCCTTGAACACAAGGAATTATGCAGCCTCCTACTAAAATTAAAACTCTGGCCACTACGATCAAGGAGGTTAAGATTGAGGTCAGCCAGCCCTTCCATCTTCCAAACCATTTTCCATTAAGTCAGTGAAAGGATCATTTATACCTGAGTTTTCAGCTAGCTCATTAGATAGCGTAGTTAATCCCTGTAGGGCCTTAGTAACAGTTCCATCAGGGGCTGTATTATTTGGTATATACATGCAACACAAAGCTCCAATCATTATGCAAACTCCTCCCTT